CGGCCGCAGTGAGCCCGGCCGGCCGAGCGCGGGGGGCGGCCGAGCCCCGGCGCCGCGGGCACCATGGACAGTATCCTGGAGCCCTTCCCCGCCGAGCGGCTCTTCCCCGCCGCCGGCACAGGCTTCCTCGACTTCGGCGACTTCAGCGAGGCGGACTTTCTCAGCAATGTGGTAAGGGACCGCCGGCAGCACCGCCGCTCCGGCGGGCTGGCCCCGGCAGCGGCGACGGGACACGGCGGCGGGCTCTCCTCGGTCCCCGCCCGGCCCCGGGGTGCCCCGGAGATGCAGGTAGCCGGGTGCCCGCCGTCGCACAAGACCAGCTCCCCGCTAGACTGGCCCGGCCGCTGTTACCCCGAGGAGACCCCGCCGGGGAATCTCAGGGCTGTTGTACACTATGGTTTCATGAGCCTGATGGCGGGGGAAAAGTGCGCGGTGCCAGGCGGGGAACGTACGACCTGCCGTGTATGAGGTCGAGCAGCACCGGAGGCACGGCCGGTTGCCGTCGGGAGAGCTTTGGGCTCAGCGCCTCCTCTCTCCTTTGCCTGTAACTTTTCCTCAGAGTGGCATTTGGGATGAAGCATCTACCGCTTGGCGCTTTGGCTGGACTGATTTACTTTGGAGAGAAGGGTGAGGGGGAAGAGTGACTAGGGAGGAAAATGTGTTGCCAGTCTCAGGGAACCAAAGGGGCATTGTTCACCTCTAGGGAAACTGCCCAGTTTCTCCCAGGAGTCAGGCGAGTTCTCAGTCCAGCAGCTCTCCCTGAGAACACGCACAGACTCTGCTGTAGAGCCCGAGCTCTCCATGGGAGTTTCCATGGGATCCTGCAGCCCCTCTGCCAGGCAGGACCCAGCCCTGAGGCAGAAGTGGGAAGGACCCCACCCCAGAAGTGGTTTGGAGCGAGGGTGTCCTGCGCTGGGCAGCAGAGCACTCCCTAAACGCGAGGCTCCGCCAGCCTCTGTGCGGCTGCAGCCGTGGGACAGTGTGCCTGCCCCGGACAGAGATCTGAGCAATGGCTTGTCACTCCTCTTTCACAGTACTGGCACCTCCCGTGCTCCCGGTGTAGCACTGAGCGTCCCTGAGGGCTACCCTTGCAGTGGGAGCAGGGAACAGGGAGAGGGCGAATCCTCTGACGAATCCACTTCTGCTTTGCTACACAAGAGATATTTAAAGTCTTTTATGTTGCCTCCTTTGTAAGGGAGGCGGTAGAGATGTAGAATTTGCATAAATATTAAATGCACTGCACCAAGCAGAGGCACACAAGGTCTGGGAAAGAGATTATGGAGGCAGTCCCATCCCTCAGAGATCTTGCCAGCTCCTAATTTCCGAGATTGCACTGTGCCTTGAGGACTGATTCCACTGGGCTCTACCAGAGGCAGCAGATTCCACAGTGTTCAGGCAGACCTTCCAATGGCACACCACCTCAAGACTGAGTGCTTGCCTTGCCTGCTCGTATCTGAGAAACCTGTTGTTAGGAGTTTTGTGCTTTCCATAATTCTTTACACATCCAGCATGGATGAAGCGATGGTGATAGGAAGTGCTTTATGCAAAGACCATTTATTCCTTTACCAAAATGAAAATAGTATGTATTGGCACCAGCCCTTTTACCAGGTGCAACATGGGCTGTGGTCAGAAGTCAGGGAACCCCTAACCAATATAGGTGGTACCTTTTCATAGTTAAACACAACTTCTGCCTTCTGAAGCAGACCCTGTGGAAAGAAGCATTTGTGTAAGAGTGCCATCTGGTGCCACCTGCCAGGACAGTGTGTTTAAAGTGTGTGGTGGCCGTGGGCAGGCTGGCTCTGTCCTGTCTAATTTAAATGGCTTTTCTGCTTGGAGAACTGCTTCTGGAAGCAGCTTGCCGTTGTCTTCTCATTAACTATGTTGCAGTGACTCAGGCATCGTTGTGCTCAGCTGACAGCAGAAAGGCACTTTTTTAAAGGGTTTTTATTTTCCTGTGGATTTTTTCCCAACTGCCAGCACCACAAACTTCTGCTGGAGTGAGAGAGTCAAGCTGAAACCTTCTCTTCCTGCAGATGATACATACAAGAGATTCTGTAGCCACTTCTCGCCTACAAATCTGTTGGTGATACAACAGCCAGAACATAATACATCAGCCTCTTTGTTCTCACTCTGCATGACAATGGGAAGGATGGAAGAAATACACTTGGATTTTCTTACTAAATCCAGCAAATCTCCTGGGATCTTGCAATGTGTTGAGAAGTTCTTTTGACATAGAACTGTGCAAAACATCACCGTGCACAATAGGCACAAAGTTGCCAGTGCCTTTGCTTCAAAGATGGGCAAACTTTTCCAGATATTGTTCAGCAGGCATTTTTCTTAAAACAGGCCAGGAATTTCAGCCATAAAATGTCAGTATGAAATTTTCATGAGTATGATTTCCTCTTTTCAGAAAGGAAGCAGAAAGAAAAGATGGATGAACCTTACTGCAGAGTCTGTGCTCCTTCGGGGCAAGAATTGCATGTGTCTAAACTACACTCTTTTCCACAACCTTGACAGTCCTAATGAGTCATTCTGGTCTTTAAAAAATGGTTCTCTGTATTGTTCATCTGAAGCTGTGACAAAGAATTAATTAAGGCACATC